AAAAAAAAAAAAAAAAAAAAAAAAAAAAAAAAAAAAAAAAGGAGACAGTGTAGCGTATCTGTTTCATCTCCCCTTACATCACTCCAAGCTTTCTGCGACGTAAGGCGCACAGCCTTTCTCCCTTTTCCACTCTCCAGCACCTCTGATGAATCTGTAAGAATTTGTATTCTTTTATCTGTGAAGCTCTTCACAAGCCCATACTTTATAGCATCTGCTTTACCCAGGTACTGTACTGTACCCCCAGTAGGGTCACCCCACTCAAAAAAAAAAAACTTCGCCGGATCCCAAAAATCATCGCCCATCAATGTATCCGTCAACGTGTACGCGTCGGAGCACTGCAGGGACCGCTCAACACCAGCAGAAGGACCCTCAGGGGGGCCCCCAGGGGGGCCCCCAGGGGGGCCCCCAGAGGGGGCAGGAGAGGGGGCAGTAGAGGGGCCCCCAGAGGGGCCCTCAGAGCGGAAGGGAGAGGGGGCGTCAGTGCTGCTACGAGGTGTACTATGGGGGCTGCTGCTGCTGCTGCTGCTGCTGCTGCTGCTGGTGCTGCTGCTGTTGCTGCTGGATGTGTTTTTTCTTGCTTGGAGTGCAGCAGCAGCAGCAGCAGCAGTTGCTTTAGCTGCTGCTTCATCTATGAAGGCCTTCGGGTGTCTATAGTACTGCAGCTCGCCCGGTATCCTGCAGCTGGCTCGTGCTGCTAGCGCCATATACTGAAAATAAAACAAAGGGACTGTCTCCTTTTCTTTTTTTGTTTCTTTGGGGACCAAGAAATGCTCACAAACGGAGACAGCAGGAGACAGAGAAGGAGACAGCACGTAGGCGAAGTGAGTGCAACGCGGCTGCTCTAGACATAACCTCTGACACTCTTTTGGTGTTAGTGCTGTTGCTGCTGCTGCTGCTCCTGCTGCTGCTGCTGCTGCTGCTGCTGCTGGTGTTGCTGCTGCTGCTGCTGGTGTTGCTCCTATGATTCGCTTGTTAAACACGAAGCAGCTTCGGCTCAAATCTACGAACTCCCCAACTGTCACTCCAGCACCCTCATCTGCTGCTGCTGCTGCATCTGTTTCTCCTGCTGCTGCTGCTGCTGCGTCTGTTTCTCCTGCTGCTGCTGCTGCTGCTGCATATATTTCTCCTGCTGCTGCTGCTGCTGCATCTGTTTCTCCTGCTGCTGCTGCTGCTGCATTTGCTTCTGCTGCTGCTGCTGCTGCTATTGCCGAGGGTTGTGCTGCTGCGGGCTCGCTAGTGCTTCGCTGCTGCACGTGTTGGGGTGTATCTGCAGCTGCGGTGTCTCCTCCTAGTGTACTGTCTCCTTTTATTCTGCTGTCTCCTTTTTTGTTTTTTGTTGCTGCTGTTTGCTGCTCTGCTGCTGCTGCTGCTGAGCTGTGCCCTTCTGCTTCCTCGGACCCCACAACGGAGAAGATATCCTCCTCCTTTACGCTGCTGCTGCTGCTGGTGTTGCTGCTGCCGCTGCTGCTGCTGCTGCTGCTGCTGCACCAGCAGCAACAGCATCTAAGGGATCGGATCCCGCAGCTGGCGCCTTCCCTTCTATGCCA